CAAATTCACTGGTTACTGATGTTTGCATTGGGTCTGTTCAGCCCGACAAGAGGTAAAATCCTAGATTTGGGGAAAGCAGGCTCTGAAGGATCGCTGGGTGGGTGGAGGTTGTCAATCCTAGCACACCATCTCCAGTGAGCCCTCCACCAGCATAAATACCCCCAGCTCCACCCATCTGAATAAAGTTATTCCAACTTATACTCATTGTTTTCACTCCATTTCAAAAAAGCCTTTATTGAAATGTCAAGTTTGAATATAACCAGAGTGTCAAGAGGCAGCAAGGGAGAATTAATACATGTTAGGAAAAAAAGGGCAATGATTCGGGTATGCAAGTCTTTCTTCTGGCCTGAAACAGGCAGCAGATCCTTCCTGGGGTGGCTTTATGAGCAGTGGAGTTCTTCAGATGCCATATTTTAAAGTGGCTTTACTGCTAAATCAAAGGACATGCCAAAAAAGCCCCCCAAAACCATCCAAACCATGCTCCTCTTACATGTTTTTTCCCCAAAGTTCGGCAAGATGCTGCTGCATGTGACGAGCAGTGGTGTGTTACAACTCTAAAATACCCAAGAGCACTCAAATGCTCTCATAGGAGGGCCAACACATGGAGGATGTGGTGCCGCCAGCGCCCTCCATCCTTGTTGCGTGGTCCTTTGGCCATAAAGCAATGCCACGAGCACTCTCTCTGGCTTCGTTGGGCAGATCCAAACCAATCCAAACCCAACAGCCTTCCAGAAGGAAGTGACAAGGACGTTTCCACCCCCTACCATGGGCGGTGCAGGAGCTCCAGCCGTCTGTTTGCTCATATAGCGCCGTGCCAAGCTCCCAGCCCTGGAAGTCCATGGAAAGGCGGCTCTGACTCTGGCATGGGTGGGCTTCGCCAAAGTGCACACATTGACATCCCAGCAGGAGATGCCATCCCTAGTACAGGCAACCTTGTTTCATGAATCCCCCCAAACACAGAGGCTGGGGAACACATCAGTTGGATTTTGTGCTCTAAAATCCCTAGCTTGGTGTCTTCCAGGCTGAGGTGGCCCATGACATTGTCACTTACCACATTTAAGATGCTTCACAATGTGGCAAAAGTTCTATTCTTTACTTAAAATACGCAGCTGGGGACATGGGGAAAGAGGGCAATAAGTATGTTCAAATTAACACAGTATTTACCAAAACCCACATTTAAAAACAATTCACGTGAGAACATCGAAGTGCCTCCACACTGAAATATTTCCCATCCATAAATCCCATCATCAAACCCAGGGGTGACTCGAGGGCAGCCAGAATCATCCCTGGGCATACGGAAACCTCAGCACTGCCCTGCTCGACCCTAGAGCAGCTGCAAACTGCCAAGAGCAATGGTGCCACCTTACAGACATCTCCCAGGCTGCTTTTGGGAAGCCTGGCTGAGACCAGGTTTTGATAATGCACACGTACACATGTAAGACACGTGGATTTCAACTGTGGTCCAAGATGGATCGTCCTGTGCCATGACTCTTAAAGAACAAATATAAGTTTCCAACATCCTTATGAAGGACAAGCCCAACAATTTAGCAGTTGCCTATTTCCCCCCCCCCCCCTTAATTTCTTTTAAACACTGCATTGAATCCCAACGGGATCTGGGGGTTTTGTTTTAATGGCGAGGCAAGAATTTGCCGATCCTCCCTGTGGTGAAGTTACTTTCAAGTCAGTGAAAGTTCTTGGCCCGCGATGAAAAGTCTTTGCCAATTAGCGCTCAACAACTTCAATTCATCCCTCCTGGTTCAAGATGAGTAGGAACCTAATAAGGCTGCTATAAAAGGGCAAAAGGCACCGAGTACCCAAAGGGGATTAATGGGCTCTTCCATTTATTTGTCTTCCTAACAGCTGAACTGTTACAAGTATTGACGGTCTTCAAACGGCCCGGGCGCCGGGGTCTCCAATGGCCATCTCCAGCTCCCCAGCCCCAAGGGGCGAGGGCTTCCCCCTGGGCGATGCCAAAACCAACAAAGCCCCGGGGATCAGGTAATGAAACTTCAGCTTTCTCCCCCCCCCCCACCGCCTCTCTTTGAGATTTATTTACTGGCAGCTGACAAGGGGCAAATTCAGCTGGAATTGTGTAGTCAAGGCCCTGTCAAGCCTTCAGAGGCACCCTTATGTCGAATCACCTTCCTGACTGGCATGTCGCTGAAAAGCCCTCGGCGCTGGTCCTTAACAGCTCCCGACAGCACAAAGGACACTCCAGACAGATGCCTACATGGCATCCTGCAGCATTTTAAAAGAGAATTAGTGGTTTTAATTATGGTCGTCGTATGAAAGGAAACCATGCAAGCTCGGCAGGAGACCTTTGATCAAACCCTTTTGCTAGCACAATGCCGCGGAACTGTGACTATTCCTAGCAAGGGGCCTTTTCTCGCTGAATGACTCACCAGTGATCTTTGAATGCAGACAAGTTCCTCGCCCTCCCTCTTCATTAGCGAGCATTTCTATACAGGCCCTATATAGTGTGCGGAGTCTCGGCGCTATACAATGGGGGGGAAAAAAGAATCCCTACAGATTCTGGCCTCTACTTAGGAAGTGCTGAAGGACTCTGAGTGACTTTATTCATTAAAACAGGTTGCTATTAATTAACTGTCATAATAAAATAAAGAACTATTATTTGCATTTCTTAGTGCGCTCCCTTTAGTAATATGTATAAAAGATGCTTGTAACAAAAATGAATTTATAAGGGAGGAAAAAAACCTTCAGAAGTCTTTTTTTTTACCCCTCTCTCCCCTCCCTCCTTTACTTTTTTTTAAGGTCTAGGCAGCAGGAGCCCGACTAATTATTAGGACCAGTTTTGCAAGAGAACAAATAGAGGTAAAACACAAATATGAAAGTAATTAGGAAAACGCAAAATCCTGTTTACTTGGCAACCGATTCATGCAACTGAGACTAACGAAGAGCAAATCAGCTTTGCTTGTTTGATAAACTTAAGGGTGCCACCTAAGAGGAGCTGATAAAAATTAAACCTCTGCCAGCATCCCTCAGCACCACCTCTTAGCGAACGGGCTCAGAAACATCCACGCAACCGCCTCGTCTAAAAGCGCCAGCAAACCTCGTTTGAACAGATGCAGGGGGAGGAACTCGGTAACTTCCGTGGCTGTTCAATACCTTTACCCTCATGCTCTGCTGTCGCTGCTACCTCGGAGCTGAGCACCCAGCCCGGACGCCCGCGTCGCACGCGCATGCGATTTGCCACGGTTGGCGACTGCTTCTGCTTTGCTCCCTACAAAAAAAAGCATCTGTTCCTCTGCCCCTCACACCCGAGCAGGCTTTTGCCAGTGGGAAAGTTCTCCTCGGGGTGTGCATTTATGACAATATACGGCGATACGTTACCGGACGCGGGCTGCAGGCTGGGATACCTTTGTCCAGCCCCTCTTTTCTCCCGAGCAGATAGGGGAATGCACAAAAGCTTCCAATTATTTCAAGACGAGGGGCATCTAATCAAGATAAAATGAAACCCTCAGCTCAGTATATTTGCTTGAATAGATTTGCCAGAATGCAGGTAACAAAAGCGTTCAAAAAAAAAAATTGGGTTCCTAATGCTTTTCTGCCGAGCTGAAGGACTGACTTGGAGCAGGGAGAAGAAAGCTGGCCCTAAGAAAGCTGCACGGAGGAATGTATGACATTGCTCTGCACAAACACTTCTGCGGGGATTCAGAAAAAGGAAGAGATTCAAGTGAGGCACAGTCGCCCTGAAATGTAGTAAATGACAACACAAAGAGTTAAAATGACACCCCTG